AAGCTCGAAACCAAATAGACAAAAAGATAGATCATCTATTATTAAGAAAAACCCATGTACGATTTCAGTGTTTTAAAAGTTATGACCATTTATATCATCGCATATGCGAGCTAATGCAATATTTTTAAATTTAGCGTTAACGGGTCTATTCCAAGCAGATTTTATCAAAAGTACGCCTTACATAATTCATTCCTTGCACTGACTCACAACTTGAGCCGTATTACAATCCCTGAGATGCCAGAATCCACAAAATTCCAGCAAATGTGCTTTTGAAACTGCCGGTTTGCGGCCATATTTGAATCCCATGCTAACAACAGGTGAAACCGTGTCACGGTTCGAGCTAAATAGCAAGGTAAAACAACTTTCCAGAGGTGAGAGTTTGCTCGAGAATTAGGAAATCAACTAAGCAGTTTCATTTCGGGTCAGAAAATTGAGATTTAAGAGCTACAACCTGGAATAAACCTCCTATTCAACTGGCTCTGCAGATTGACACCTAAACCGGATACGTGAAACCCGGATATTCGGAAAACCGGAAATGAGGAAATCCGGATCATCCGGAAATCGGCAATTCTGAAATCAATCAGTAAACGAAGCCAATTCAAAAAATTAGAGACAGGTGCATTCATTTAGGGCTTCCTTTCGGATAAATTTAGGCTTCTGGGAAACTGCCCACCTACCCCTCTCTTAAGCCATCATTTTGCCCTAAGCGAGAACAAAGTGTTAATGTAGGCTTAGGAGAGGGCTAGGTGGGCAGTTTCCCAGAAACCTAAGTTGATCCTTCTTTTCGACGCTGAGACACGTAAAAGATAAAACCTTCCAAATAAGCAAACCGTAGTTCCGCGATCGATTGCATTTGGCAAATAGTCTTCATAAGAAACAGTAAATATTATTGACCGGTCGCAAACATGCTATATGCTATATATCGACACCGATCATGAGCGTGGCGAGATCTAGGAAACCGAGCCCGCTCGGTTGTCTGGGCTTATCAGTATAGAGGACCTTGAAAGTCGCTTGTTAAGAGCGGATAAATGGTGCCGGCCGGTGAGTACGTTTATAAGAAACCAATCATTACTTGGAGGGGGGAGGGTAAGGCTTGAGTAAATGGAGGAAAGCCTTCTTCAAATTTTACTATCCTCTTACTGATCCTTATCCCGTCCCTTTGTCTATTTTTACAACAAAAACTAGATTGTCCTCCTCCCAAACTTTACCTAATTCATTACTGGCACTAACTCAAAAATTGAGCCATATTTCAGTCTCTGAGATGCCAGATTCCATAAAATTCTGGTAAATGCGCATAAGAAACTGCTGGTGTACGGTCTTATTTGAATCCCATGCTAACAATCCGAAGCTCATGACAGGTTTAGGCCGGTTCAGGAATTTGGGTCCCCGCTGCTTAGGAAAAACGTTTTTACCTAAATCCCAGTAGGAGCTGAAAGAGGAACCACACTAAAAAGAAGACAAGCCTTACGAAGGTGTTATAAGCTGGATTAATCCTGACACGTTTTAGCAGCAAATTTTCGTCATTAAGGTATATGAGTTTTCTTGAACGCCTGATATGTAATACAATAAAACAATGGGACAGGGCTACTCTTTCTTTGCTGTTATATTCTTCTTGGCTAGCGGTTTCGTACCGGCTTGGTTAAAAAATATGCATCACCGGAATTTTCAATTTTAAAACGCCTTTATCTTAGTTGCCATTGTATTGGTAAAGGATTACATAAATAAATATCTTAGAGAGAAGTAAATACTTCAAACGTTTATTCGTTAGACACAGGAAAATAAATGGGCCAGCGTTGTTGCTAGACACAGGGAAATTAATGCCCCAGTTTATTTTGTAAGACACAGGCAAATTAATGCGCCAGTGTATTTTGTAAGACACAGGCAAATTAATGCGCCAGTGTATTTTTTAAGACACAGGCAAATTAATGCCCTAGTGTATTTGTTAAACACAGGCAAATTAATGCCCCAGTGTATTTTGTTAAACATAGGCAAATTAATGCCCCAGTGTATTTGTAAGACACAGGCAAATTAATGCCCCAGTGTATTGGTTAAACACAGCCAAATTAATGCCCCAGTGTGTTTTGTTAAACACAGGCAAATTAATGCCCCAGTGTAATTATTAGACACAGGCAAATTAATGCCCCAGCTGTGTATTTGTTCAACATAGGCAAATTACGGTATTTGTTAGACACAGGCAAATTAACACCCCAGCGTATTTGCTGTATTTGTTAAGCACCGGTAAACTAATGCCCCAGTGTATTTGTTAGATCCAGGCAAATTATGATCAATTCTTTGCTTGAAATATCACTCAGCACGCCTATGTATTTAATGTTCAAGTTTACAGATATTTCCTGAGGAAAGATCCACATTTTTTGTAGGCCGGCTTATATTTACATGTATCGAGTTTTTAACGCACAAAGCTTAACATTTCTACGAGTAAAATGATTGTCCTGTTCGAAGTCCGTCGACTTTATTGATAGTAAAACCATAATGTTTAACAGTTTCATTAGCGACTGAGCTGGTCCTCATTACCACTTCTGAGCTTCAGCGAACATTAAGATCAAGCTCGATTAACATTTTATAGCGCCACGTCTTCGACATTTATTGCTAAAACGTTTTATTTATGTAAACATTTGTAATTACTCACCTTGCGGCCGTGATAGTAATATTTACCTGTTTCAGTGAAGATCACAAGATAGCCAGCATGTGCACAAGCGAAAATTAAACGAGAAAAAATTCGTCTTGAGCGCCATTGCATTTGAGCGCGCAATAGAGCGAGATGACTTCATTTTTCCCGTTAATATTTCCGAATATGGTATTACTGTAATTAATTAACCCCAATAAGTAACGCAGCATCTTGCTTGTGTTCTTTGTTCTGTTGCTTTTTATAAAGTCACCATCAACAGATCCAAATGTTCTCTGATTCTGTTTTAATTGTTCCAAACGGAGAAATATTTTTAGAGAAAATTTTTTTAAAATTGGAAATAGCAGACGCAATATTAAATTGCTTGTGACCGGATATGTAATCAACTATCTTACCGCAGATTGCCATATGCCTAACCGCAAGGAAGGCAAATGGCCTTGGGATTCTAACGCCTTGGGCAAATGCCTGCTGTAAATTCCTGAACCGGCCTAAGCCTCTCATGCACAAGTGAAACTATGTCGCGTTTTGAGATAAATAGCTCGGTTAGAAATAAAATAACAACTGTCCAGAGGTTGGAGTTTGTTCGAGAATCAAAACATCAACTAAACAGTTTTTATTTTGGGTCAGAAAACCCAAATTTATGGACAAATGTAGGAATAATTTCCAACCAGTTTTGGTGATTTGTGGTTTTTCCTAAAACAAAGTGTTTTAGCGCCTTTCTTGGCCGTGTGGCATCAGGTTTTGGTCTACAAAAAGGGTTGCCCTTAGGACTTGCCCCTAGTGTCACCATTGAGTGTAAACATTGGTCTTAAGGTATAAACACCCATACAAAATGTACTCCTTTCTTAAAGCTGCGAGATTAAATAGGAGTTTCTTGCAACTGTTCCCTGTATTCCAAATGACTTCCTCCTGCTCTCCTCATATTATCCGCTATCCTCCGTGTTATCATTGCTACCGAGAAAAAAATGTCCGCTTTGGAATAAATAGCTGCTTTAATAATAATAATAATAATAATAATAATAATAGTAATAACAATAACAATAATAAAAATGATAATAATAATAATAATATATAATAAGTAATAATTTTATTCAACTTTAAAAAATATGTACATAATTTACAGAAATATTTGGAGTAAGAATTAAGCACTATGTAACATTAAGAATAGTATAAATAAAAAGCAATAAATATTAGCGTAGCTCCGCGCGCGAAGCGCGCCAGCGGAACACCATGGGTAAATAAATCTACCCATCCCAGAAAATTTGGTAATCACGTGAACGACCGACCGACCGACCGACCGACCGTCCGTCCGCACCACATGCATACCAATGTTAACTCTCACACTTTCTAGCTACTTAAGGAGCCCAGGAGAAAGCTGATTGCACATCAATGTTGTCATCAATTGACAGCCGTAAAAGTAAAAGGTACTTTAAGTAGGGTTATTAAAGTGTATCAAGAAGGCATTTAAAATAATGTATTGACATGTATACCCATGTAATGTCATGTATAGCCATGTATAGCCATGTATAGCCATGTCTTACCATGTATCACAATGTATAGCCATGTATTACCATGTATAGCCATGTATTGCCATGTACAGCCATTATAGCCATGTATAGCTATGTATTACCATGTAATGCCATGTATAGCCATGTATCACCATGTATAGCCATGTATTGCCATGTATACCCATGTATTGCCATGTACAGCCATGTATTACCATGTATTGACATGTATCACAATGTACAGCCATGTATTACCATGCATAGCCATGTATTACCATGTATACTCATGTATAGCCATGTATTGCCATCTATTACCATGTATTGCTATGTATTACCATGTATCACCATGTATTACCATGTGTAGCCATTTATAGCCATGTATACACACGTATACCCATGTAATGCCATGTATTGCCATGTATTACCATGTATAGCCAAGTATAGCCATGTATAGTCGTGTATAGCCATGTATTACTATGTATTACTATGTATTACCATGTATCGCCATGTAATACCATGTATTTCAATGTATAGCTGTGTATAGCCATGTATTACCATGTGATGTATACCCATGTATAACCATGTAATGCAATGTATCACCATGTATAGCCATGTATTACCATGTATTACCATGTATACTCATGTTATGCCTTGTATAGCCAACTATAGCCATGTATTACTATGTATTACCATGTATCGCCATGTAATACCATGTATATCCATGTATAGCTATGTATAGCCATGTATTACCATGTGATATATACCCATGTATAACCGTGTAATGCCATGTATCACCATGTATAGCCATGTATTACCATGTATTACAATGTATACCCATGTATACCCATGTAATGCCTTGTATAGCCAACTATAGCCATGTATTACTATGTATTACCATGTATCGCCATATATTACCATGTATAGCCATGTATACTCATGTAATGCCATGTATTACCATATATAGCCATGTATTACCATGTATAGCCATGTATTGCCATGTATTACCATGCATAGCCATGTATTACCATGTATACTCATCAATAGCCATGTATTGCCATGTATTACCATGTATTGCCATGTATGACATGTATAGCCATGTACAGCCATGTATAGCCATGTATTACCATGTATTGCTATGTATTACCATGTATCACCATGTATTACCATGTATAGCCATGTATACCCATGTAATGCCATGTATTGCCATGTATTACGATGTATAGCCATCTATAGCCATCTATAGCCATGTATAGCGATGTAATGCCATATATTGCCATGTATTACCATGTATAGCCATGTATTTAAGCAATAGACCACACTTTCTATGAGTTTACCGGCGCGATAACCCACGCAGGATGTTGGGAGAACACGGTACGAGAAAAGCTTGTAAATCACGAGCCGAAGGCGAGTGATTTACAAGCTTTTTGAGTGTTCTCCCAACATCCCAAGTGGGCTATCACGCCGGTAAACCCGTAGAAAGTGTGGTCTATTGCTTTTATAAAATAACTTCTAGTAGAATGGAGTGTTTTAGGTAAAACATATGGTTCTAGTACCGGGATCAAGTCACGTCTTCCCTCTTAAGTCATCATAAGCCAATCATGACTCACGATTTAATAGCGTTGAACTTTCTCAAAACACAGTTCAGTCAAATAACAAACGACAGCACTTCAAAACACGAGTTTTTGCACTCATTACATGATAACTTATGAAAGCTGTTTTACAGGAAAAGTCAACACATATTCATGCGAACATATAATGAAAGAATACGTTCATGGTTTGTTTACTACAGAGGTAGAAATTAATTGAACATCAGACTGTACGCAGCTGTATTTTGTTGAGTCGATCCGTAAGAATTTCATTGTTACAGACGGAACTGACAGCTATTGTAATGGAGGACTTCATTCACTTTTTACAAGCTGCAGTGGTTTGAGATCTGTTTTCTGGACTATTATGATCAAGAAATGCTGGGGTAACGACGTGGCTGCATTTGCGAAGTTGTCGCATGTAACTTTATATGCACGTACAGCGACCGATAGAAATATGTCAGTGGTGGAGAAAGGTTTCTTTGCCGTAGCCACATATTGGCGTAAATATTTGTCGATTCGTGAAGTCAGGTGGTTTGAGGTAGGTTATGGCATCGATATCACCGAATAATTTGTGCAAATGTTGGAAAAAACCGGCGCGAAACTCTGACATCTTTCATCATCGTTGGCAGCTTGTTTACAACCTACAGCGGCAGATTTTGTACCATATCTTGATCAGAGATCTCTTTTTGGAACAATTTCTTTCATTAAGGAATTTAATTTTGACATAAAATAAATCAAGAATGCTAAAACTATCCGTTTTGTTGCTGGTTGGCACATGGTTGAGTTTTCCTAGAGACTTTCTACACCAGAAATTCACACAGTTGTTGTCTTTCTCTGCGATTAGCATCGTCGTGAAATGTAAACTGCTTTCCAGCTTTGTACTTTATAACTTCTAAAGCTATGGCAGTAGCGAATTGTGAGGCTCAGTTATAAAATGTGGAAACCAACGCTTTTAATATTAAGAAGGGTTGGGTAAGTAACTTGTTCTATTTTTTAGCCTTTCTAACATCGTTGTTTGCAGATCAATAGCCGGTTTTGTTTATGGTTCGTGGTCCGGATGCCTTTTTCTATGGGTTTACCGGTATAATAAACCATAGGTTTATGACCAATCAGATCACGCGTACTATCTCAGTTACTTTATAAAGCCATGTATAGCCATGTAATCCCATGTATAGCCATGTATACCCATGTAATGCCATGTATAGCCATGTATTACCATGTATTACTTTGTATTACCATGTATCGCCATGTATTACCATGTATAGCCATGTACTGCCATGTATCGCTTTGTATTACCACGTGCTGCCATGCATCGCCATGTATTACCATGTATAGCCATGTATACTCATGTAATGCCATGTATTACCATGTATAGCCATTTATTACCATGTATAGCCATGTATTGCCATGTATTACCATGCATAGCCATGTATTACCATGTATACTCATCAATAGCCATGTATTGCCATGTATTACCATGTATAGCCATGTACAGCCATGTATAGCCATGTATTACTATGTATTACTATGTATTACCATGTATCGCCATGTATTACCATGTAGATCCATGTGTAGCCATGTATAGCCATGTATTGCCATGTATTGCTATGTATTACCATGTATTACCATGTATTACCATGTATAGCCATGTATACCCATGTATACCCATGTAATGCCATGTATTGCCATGTATTACGATGTATAGCCATCTATAGCCATCTATAGCCATGTATAGCCATTTAATGCCATATATTGCCATGTATTACCATGTATAGCCATGTATAGCCATGTAATCCCATGTATAGCCATGTATACCCATGTTATGCCATGTATAGCCATGTATTACCATGTATTACTTTGTATTACCATGTATCGCCATGTATTACCATGTATAGCCATGTACTGCCATGTATCGCTATGTATTACCATGTGCTGCCATGCATCGCCATGTATTACCATATATTGCCATGTTTACCATGTATTCGATGTATTGCCATGTATCGCAATGTATTACCATGTGCTGCCATGTATTGCCATGTATTAAAATGTATTGCCATGTATTGCCATGTATTGCCATGTATTGCTATGTATAGCCATGTATTACCATGTACTGTCATGTAAAAGCATGTATTTCCATGTACTGCAATGTATTGCCATGTATTACCATGTATTGCCATGTATAGCCATGTAATGCTATGTATAGCCATGTATTACCATGAAATGCCACGCATTACCATGTATTACCATGTATTGCGCTGTATTGCCATGTATCGCAATGTATTACCATGTGCTGCCATGTATTGCCATGTATTGCCATGTATTACAATGTATTGCCATGTATTACCATGTCTCACCATGTATTACTATGTATTACCATGCATTGCCATGTATTACCATGTATTACCATGTATTACCATGTATCACCATGTATTGCCATGTATAGCCATGTATAGCCATGTAATGCTATGTATAGCCATGTATTAGCATGTAATGCCATGCATTACCATGTATTATTACGTATTACCATGTATTACCATGTATTATTATGTATCACCATGTATTGCCATGTATTACCATGTATCGCCATGTATTGCCATGTATAGCCACGTAATGCCATGGATTACCATGTACTGCCATGTATAGCCATGTATTGCCATGTACTGCCATGTATACCCCTGTATTGCCGTGTATTGCCATGTAAAGCCATGTAGTGCCATTTATTGCCATGTATTGCCATATATTACCATGTATTGCCATGTATTACCATGTTTTGCGATGTATTGCCATGTATCGCCATGTATTACTTTGTGCTGCCAGGTATCGCCATGTACTACCGTGTATTGTCATGTATTACCATGTTTTGCGATGTAGTGCTATGTATTGCCATGTATTACCATGTGCTGCCATATATTGCCATGTAATGCCATGTATTGCCATGTATTGCCATGTATAACCATGTATTACCATGTACTGCCATTTATATAGGCATGTCTTACCATGTATTGCCTTGTCTTTCCATGTATTGCCATGTATTGCCAATTACTGTCATGTATCGCCATCTATTACCATGTATTGCCATGTATGCCCATGTACTGCCATGTATTATCATGTATTTCCATGCATTACCATGTATTCATGCCATGAATAATCGGATGGGTTTATAAATTGAGGTCTTCGTTTCTGAATTTTACGGTATTGTGCTAACTTGAGACTATAGAAAATACTATTTTCAGATTTCAGATTTATTTCTGCAATCTTGCATACTGTGAATTTACGGGCGAGTCAGTGATGAAATTTTTGCCGGCTTAGTTGTCCTGAATTTTTTAATAAATTTTATGCCTTTAAAATTGTTATAAATCTTTTCAAATAAAGAGGTTCTGAATGGATGTTTTCTTGAAATATTCACTGTTCTTTACGCATGTACGAATGCCGATTTGAATTTAACACTGTAAGAGGGAACTACTAAGGGACTCATTTTTCAACTGAATAATCAATTTATTAATAGAATCTAGGGAGGTATGTTTAAAATGTCCAGACTGTGACAATAGCGTATCTGATTCATTGGTCCTGGTGGTGGACTTAACCCTCCCCTCAGAGCCATCCTCTCCACGCATTTATTTATGTTTTCATCGAGTCACTTTCAGTCAGTACAGGAATTGATAGTTCTGCAACGTGCGGAAAAATTGACGTTTTCGAAACGCCAACATCGGCTAAAAAAAAGATATATATATGTATAGTATATGGCCTCGATCGTCATGAGTTCTCAGTAGTTCAAAGTGGATAGAGAGCGCCCGCCTTGTGTATGGGAGGTCGTATGTATGCATCTTGTTGGGGACTCAGATGTTTTCTTTGTTCCACGCTAGTGACACGCTGATTATTTCATTTTTACATAATTTCAAATGTTAGAAAATAATAAAAAAATATCCGCTTTTTTTCATTACCAATCTAATAATCTAAAGTCTCTGCCCTTTCTGCACCTGATCTCATAGACAACAGAAGTTTACTTCAAGGGCTTCAAAAGGTCATGGTTCGAGGTGTTTAAATTGGTGGATTTCGATCCGTTGGTGTGTTTCTGTGTTTCAATGAAGGTTCGTTGATTTTAAACTTTAATTTTCGCGTTTTCTCACGTGTTCTATTTTTTTAGATTCCCTAACTGAAATTCAAGGATTTTGACAACGCAAGTCCCTTGTTAGTAATACATGGCAATATATGGCAATACATGGCTATACATGGTAGTACATAGTAATACATGGTAATACAAGGCGATACATAGCAGCACATGGTAATACATGACGATACAATGCAAAAAATGGTAATACATAGTAATACGTGGCAATAAATAGCAATACATGGCTATACATAGCAGTATATGGTAATACATGGCAATACATTGTAATACAAGGCAATACATGGTAATACATAGTAATACCTGGCAATACATGGCAATACATGGCTATACATGGTAATACATGGCAATACATGGTAACACGTAGTAATACATGGCAATACATGGAAATACATGCCTATAAATGGCAGTACATGGTAATACATGGCTATACATGGTAATACGTGCCAATACATGGCATTGCATGGTTATACATGGCTATACATGGCTATACATGGTAATACATGGCAATATATGGCATTACCTGGCTATACATGGCTATACATGGTAATGCATGGCGATACATGGTAATACATAGCAATACATGGTAATACATGGCTGTACATGGCAATACAGGCTATACATGGCTATACATGGTAATACATGGCGATACATGGTAATACATAGCAATACATGGTAATACATGGCAATACATGGCTATACATGGATAAACATGGTAATACATGGCTATACATGGTAATACATGGCAATACATGGCTATACATGGTAATACATGGCCTTAAATGGGTATACATGGCTATACATGGCTATACATGGCAATACATGGCTATACATGGTGATACATGGCAATACATGGTAAAAAATACATGGCGATACATGGTAATACATAACAATACATGGTAATACATGGCAATACATGGCTGTACATGGGTATTCATGGCTATACATGGCTATACGTGGTAATACATGGCAATACATGGCTATGCATGGCAATACATGGTAATAGATGGCATTACATGAGTATACATGGCTATACATGGCTATACATGGCAATACATGGCTATACATGGCTATACATGGCAATACATGGCTATACATGGTGATACATGGCAATACATGGTAATACATGACTGTACATGGCAATACATGGCTATACATGGTAATACATGGCTATATATGGTAATACATGGCTAAAGATGGTAATACATAGTAATACATGGTAACTCATGATAATACATGGCAATACATGTTAATACATGGCGATAAATGGTCATACATGGCTATACACAGCAATACATGGCAATACCTAGCTATACACGGGAATACATGCAAATACATGGAAATACATGGTAATACATGGCTATACATATCATTACATGGCTCTACATAGCTATACATGGCTATACATGGCTATGCATGTTAATACATGGCTATACATGGCAATACATGGTATACATGGTGATACATGGCAATACATGGCAATACATGGTAATACATGGCCGTACATGGCAATACATGGCTATACATGCTAACACATGGCTATACATGACTATACATGGCATTACATGGCTATTCATCGCTATACATGGCGATACATGGTAATACATGGCAATACATGGTAATACATGGCAATACATGGCTATACATGGGTATGCATGGTAATATATGGCGATACCTGGTAATACATAGTAATACATGGTAATACATGGCAATACATGGGTATATATGGTTATACATGGCTATACATAGAAATACATGGCAATACATGACTATACATGGTAATACATGGCAATACATGGCATTACATGGGTATACATGGGTATACATGGCTATACATGGCTATACATGGTAATACATAACAATACATGGCATAACATTGGTTTACATGGCTATACATGGCTCTACATGGTAATACATGGCAATATATGGCATTACATGGGTATACATGGCTATACATGGCTATACATGGTAATACATGGTGATATATGGTAATACATAGCAATACATGGTAGTACATGGCAATACATGGCTATACATGGGTATACATGGGTATACATGGCAATACATGGCAATACATGGTAATATATATTAATATATTATATTATATATTGTACCGCGGCAGTGTTAGCTCAGTCGGTAGAGCGTGTTGACTGCAGAGCGGGAGGTCGCGGGTTCGATTCCTGAGGCCGGACCAATACTCAGGGTCTTAAAATAACCGAGAAATGAAGGTACTCCCTTTGCACTGCAACAGGCTAGACCTTCGCGTGGCTCGGATGACCACGTAAAATGGCAGTCCCGTCTCCAGTTGGAGACGTAAAACATAGTGTCCCCAATTAGTACTTTCGTGCTAAATACATTGACACTCAAATAAAGTGCTTTTTTATTTTTATTTTATTTTATTTTTTTTATAATAATACTTGGTAATACATGGCAATACATTGGTATACATGGTAATACATGGCTATACATGGTAATACATGGCAATACATGGCATTACATGGGTATACATGGGTATACATGGCTATACATGGCTATACATGGTAATACATAACAATACATGGCATAACATTGGTTTACATGGCTATACATGGCTCTACATGGTAATACATGGCAATATATGGCATTACATGGGTATACATGGCTATACATGGCTATACATGGTAATACATGGTGATATATGGTAATACATAGCAATACATGGTAGTACATGGCAATACATGGCTATACATGGGTATACATGGGTATACATGGCAATACATGGCAATACATGGTAATATATATTAATATATTATATTATACATTGTACCGCGGCAGTGTTAGCTCAGTCGGTAGAGCGTGTTGACTGCAGAGCGGGAGGTCGCGGGTTCGATTCCTGAGGCCGGACCAATACTCAGGGTCTTAAAATAACCGAGAAATGAAGGTACTCCCTTTGCACTGCAACAGGCTAGACCTTCGCGTGGCTCGGATGACCACGTAAAATGGCAGTCCCGTCTCCAGTTGGAGACGTAAAACATAGTGTCCCCAATTAGTACTTTCGTGCTAAATACATTGACACTCAAATAAAGTGCTTTTTTATTTTTATTTTATTTTATTTTTTTTATAATAATACTTGGTAATACATGGCAATACATTGGTATACATGGTAATACATGGCTATACATGGTAATACATGGCAATACATGGCTATACATGGTAATACATGGTAATACATGGCATTACATGGGTATACATGGGTATACATGGCTATACATGGCAATACATGGCTATACATGGTAATACATGGCAATACATGGCATTACATGGGTATACATGGGTATACATGGCAATACATGGCTATACATGGTAATACGTGGCAATACATGGCAATATATGGCATTACATGGCTATACATGGCTATACATGGTAATGCATGGCGATACATGGTAATACATAGTAATACATGGTAATACATGGCTGTACATGGCAATACAAGCTTTACATGGCTATACATGGTAACACATGGCGATACATGGTAATGCATAGCAATACGTGGTAATACATGGCAATACATGGCTATACATGGTAATACATGGCCTTAAATAGGTATACATGGCTATACATGGCTATACATGGCAATACATGGCTATACATGGTGATACATGGCAATACATGGTAAAAAATACATGGCGATACATGGTAATACATAACAATACATGGTAATACATGGCAATACATGGCTGTACATGGGTATTCATGGCTATACATGGCTATACGTGGTGATACATGGCAATACATGGCTATGCATGGCAATACATGGTAATACATGGCATTACATGGGTATACATGGCTATACATGGCTATACATGGCAATACATGGTAATACATGACTATACATGGTAATACATGGCTATACATGGTAATACATGGCTATACATGGCTATACATGGGATTACATGGTAATACATGGCTATACATGGCAATACATGGCTATACATGGTGATACATAGCAATACTTCGTAATACATGACTATACATGGTAATACATGCTTATATACTGCTATACATGGCTCTACATGACATTATATGGCTATACATGGCATTACATGGCTATAGATTGCATCACATGGCGATACATGGCTATACATGGTAATACATGGCTATACATGGCATTACATTGCTATACATGACATTATATGGCTATACATGGCATTACATGGCTATACATGGTAATACATGGCTATACATGGCTATACATGGCATTACATGGTAATACATGGCTATACATGGCAATACATGGCTATACATGGTGATACATGGCAAAACATGGTAATACATGGCTATACAAGGTAATACTTGGCTATACATGGCTATACATGACATTATATGGCTATACATGGCATTACATTGCTATACATGACATTATATGGCTATACATGGCATTACATGGCTATTTTGATATATTTCTTGGTACACTTTAATAACCCTACTTAAAGTACCTACCAAAAGTAAAAACAGGGTATCCGCTGACCAGTATCACCTGACCATATCGCGGGCTTAGGTGTCGACCCATCAATGTCGAGTATGTTTTGAAGTTATCCGCTGACAATTTACTCGTTTTCAAATGCTCGCAGGCTCACGTTTACTTTTTTTTTAAATTCATGTCAAATATGTTGTGTTTATGTCACTATCGCCCCGGACTATTACGATTTCGATTTCAAACTGACCTCAGACGCAAAAATTCAGCCAGTTTCTTAAAATACAGGCGGGGAAGACCTTTTCTTACTATGGTCACGCGTTGGTCGCTCTCTACGTCCAATTTTTTATGCTATGATTGATTAAAATTTGACAAAGCATAAACAACTAGTAAAGACTTGAGGATTCTGAGAGACACTTAAATACTCATTTCTACCGAATTATAATCTTTATTGATTGTTGGTAGTCTCAAAAGTGTAATTTTCATCGCTTTGCCGTTTGTTTTCAGGCGTTCATAAATATCGCTTGCAAGAGTACTCAAAATGCCGAGCATATCAAACGCTTTTTAAGATTACAAATCGTTATAAAACCATTAATAAAAATTAGACTCAATAAATTCTTTATCACGTTGAAGCGTAACTCTTTTAAAATTTCTTCGCAAATTTGGCGCTAGTCAAAAGTTAGAACCGGCTGGACGTATAGGTGATTTTGGAAATTATTTGACCGGTTTTGCTAATTAAAAGTCCACGCGTGCTTCGATGGTCCTGAATACTGAATGAATGCAATTTGTCTTGAAAAATTGTGAAATACTGCATTTTGTACGAGGTTTGTATGATAAAAACAGCGCCTCATAGCACTCTTTCTCCTCAGATGTGGTGTATAAAAAAAATAAAAGATTGGTTTGCACGCACCCAGATTTATTGGCAAGAATTTGAAAAGTTGTAGAACTTAAACAAATCTGCCTGATTTGTTTTCCAAGAATATGTTTTCCACGCCTTATCTACTGTGATCAAGAACCATTATTGCTCTTAAATGTGACCGAAGACTATTTTTTGGGTGTACATATAAGGCTATATCAACTCGATACAAGATTTGTTTCACTCCAAAATCACTAAGCTTTTCCGTCAAAAGTCACATGAATGTGCCCTTAAGTTAACTGATTTGGGGGACACAAAATTATTGTTCGATTTAACCCTATTCAGACTGGGGGGGGGGCTTTTCGAACCCCCCCCCTCCGGCAAAATCGTGATAACTCCTACACCGAAAGAGCTAGGACGTTCAAATTTTCTGACTTTTCCTAAAATTTATCTAGGAACATTTTGGTATAATTACCATGTCCATGTGAATTAATCATGTTGCCATGGCAACCAGTTTCTGACACATAGGTTTTGGAAAATTTAAAAAATGGTGATTTTTTTGTTTCAAGATCGCGTTTTTACACTTATAGTGCTTTTTGTTGTTAAAATGGTCTTTGCTTGGGACTAGTTTTTGAATTACATCAAAATGTTTCAACATCGAATATTTGGGGGGGAAGGGTGGGGCAAAATTTCTCACTTTTTTGCTTTGACAAATATGCTGCTCTATTTTCCAAATAACACTTCCAAAGTCATTTGTTTGGGTAATAAACATTAGTTTGATACTTCTTTTATACATTCTGAGCTTTTTCCCCTTTGAAAGTTGCTTTAAATTATAATTTTAACAAAAAAACGGAAATCCAAGATGGCGGATCCAAGATGGCGGACAACCATTTCAAATTTTAAATTTTATTGCTTCCTATTGCTTTTTCTCGCTGTACAAGTGTTTCCTTGTTACTAGTTCATAAGAAAGGATAACAAAGAGATGACTTTACCAATATTATTGATATTTTACGTATCTAAGTGGAAAAATAATAAGAAACATTGAAAAATCGGAATATGACGTCACTGTGACGTCATCATTGGGCGTGGCAAGTCAAAACTGGGTGTGGGGCTTCTTTGTACGGAGATGATCATTGTGTGTAAATTTCATGACCCTAGCATTATTGGTTCCAGAGATACAGAGGGGGGGTCCGAGGAGCCCCCCCCCAGTCACAGATTGACCAAAAAAGCCCAGTCTGAATAGGGTTAAGTTATAAATTTATCAATGGGAGCTTCGCTTTTAGCTGTGGCTAAATCTATATATTCAGCAATCACTGTGTCAATAGCGATTTCACAAATACATTCCTTGCGGCTCAGATGCGGTCACTAACTCTTGCAGGCAGTCCAGAGTTTTAAATTAAGTCCTTACCAATCCGTCTCTGATATTAAAAAGAAAACAAGTTAAAAAGAATAAAAATCTCGTATTCCTAAATTCCTGATTCTATAAAAAAATAAAAACAAGCAAAAAAGAAATTAATTCGGGCAGGCTTTAATATTATCAATCTGTAGGTCTGAGTCAACAAAGTCTAGCTGTCTTCTTCTGGATCTTGAGCCTCTCAAGCATAGTATCGCAGAACGTACGATGGCGAAAGATACTGTAGCTCTTATCCAGGAAATTGCGCTTGAGTAACTTTCTCCCTTCTTATTTGCGATCAGCTCCGCAAGTCTGCTGTGGTACCTGACACACTCATCCGCCATTCCACCTGTGGTCGTGAAAACTAGGGGAGTGAACGTTCCCTGTTCGATCTCCATTACTCTCTCCGCATACTGCCTCTAATAATAATAATAATAATAATCATAATACTAATAACAACAATAATTTTTAAAAATATAGTAATTTTATTGAATTTTAGAAAAAATATGTACCTAATTTACAGAAATATTTAAAGTAAGAATTAAGCACTATATGACATTAAGAAACATAACAATAATAATAATGATGATGATGATGATGATAATGATAACCCTGTGCGCCGTGTGCAGCTTTTTTTAAGGGCTGTTACCAACTGAAAACTCTGCTATAATAATAACAAAAGCATTTATTATTGCGCCATATCCATGGGCTAACGGCGCTTTTCTTGAAACTCTGCTTATGCACCCCAAATGAATTTTATGCACGCGGAATGAATCTGTTTAAAAGCATTGTTTTTCGTCGATTTACACCCTTTTCTTTAAATATCTAACCGAGATTTCAGTCAATCAAAAAATGACTTTGGTTCAATAATTTTTCGAGAATTTTTGGATGATTCTTCGAATGTTTTTAATGTATAAAAATTAGGGGGGATGTTTTAAATTTTGGAAACATTGGAAAATGTTGGATTTGGGAGTGTTGAAAATTACAATATGAAGTGAATAATCAGTGGAGACTTTACCGCCATAACAAGGTGCCTCTGATCCCATAAGCGGACCATCATTTCGCCCCAAAGAAACAACTAGGAATTCTCCCTTAACAGGCGATTTTTAAGGGCCTTTATACTAATAAGCCAAGACAACCGAGCTGGCTCGGTTTCCTAGATATCGCCACACTCAGTTTTGATATAAAGCCAACGTCTGTGCAGTAAAAAAAAGTCACAAGTGTGATATGTTAGCGCACATAGCATGTTTGTAAGTCAATGACATTTACTGTTTCTTATGATGCCTGCGTTTCAGTTTAGTGAAAATCAAATAGCAACGATTTGCTTACTTGACAGGTTTTATCTTTACGTGTCTCGGTGTTGAAAAGAGGGATCAATTTAGGTTTCAGGGAAACTGCCCACCTACCCCTCTCCTAAGCTTACATTAACACTTTGTTATCACTTAGGGCAAAATGATGGCTTATGGGAGGGGTTTTTAGGAAAGTTTTCAAGATAAGTTGGTATCTCATCCCAGATTTTAACACCAATTCGTGAAAAGGCCTTTCTTTGAATAATTAAAAGTGCGGATTGTTCCTATAAAAATGCCCAGACGTTGTTGACTTTACTCTATACGATCGAACGCTGGAGACTTTAAGAGCAAAATCGAAAAATTAATTGGAGCAGAACTCGTGTTTACAACGTAGATTAAATTGGCGACTTTTCCCAAGTATAGCAATTCTAGCGGTAGCAGTTTTTATTTTAGGAAGAAAGGTATTGCATGCTCCCCTGCTTGGGCAAAGTTTATAGGACGGAGTGCACGTTTCTCAAGGACAATAATTTGATTAAGACATTGCCCCAAGAGATCATAAACCATAAATTAGACAAGGTGCAATGAGAGACTTATAAATATCAGGAAGGGTTCGAGTTGGAACAATATGCCTTAATTTAACCTCACAATTAGATCAATACCTTTACTTATTTTCGTCTCTTGCTTTTTTTTCGTCATGGACAATGATAATCTGGAAAACATAGTTAACCTTTTTTTTTCGATATGGGTGAAAAATAACAAAAACAAAGGATAATGAAAAAGATCATTCCACTAGTGCTTACTACATAAAAGAACGGTTAAGCCAACACTTCAGAAACTCTTATCCAAAGCGCGCTCGTTAAATAGTTGCTTCGCGATTTTACGATTTTAGATTTCGTGCTTTCT